CGAGAATGTGGTTGAGGAGCCTGAACGCGATGCATACCAGCCTGCGTGGTGCCAGTAAAAAACCTTCCTGCTGTCACACATAAAAGACATGGCACAACTGGAGGAATGCAGCGGTAGGTCTGATGAAGAGACGGTCTGCGTCACATCTGCTCCTTCCTGGCCTAACGTTAAACAGTCAGTTCGCCCAAATTACAAAAAGAAAGAAAGCTTAACTCTGGTAGTGTCTAATCATGCAGGTAGAGATATCTGTCTGTGGGATTACTACCTGCACCGCAATATGGAATTTAAGAATAGTATCCTTGTTACTCTGAATAATCCATAAAAACTCAACTACAACTCAAACAATTACATGATTAACTTAATACTCTCTGCTTCACCTGCTTTTCAAATGTGAGGATTTGGTGCTTTTATTTGTCATACTAGAAGATTCAATTGAATATTTTTTGGTTTTGGACTGTTAGAAACAGAAATACCAATTTTAAAATTTAACCTCGGGTTCTGGGAAATTCCAGTGAGCACTTTTCCCTGTTGTTTGACGTTTTATATAACAAAAGATTAAATCATTTATCAACAAATGAATCAATACTGAAAATAATAATGATTACAATTTGTGAAAGTATAAACTGTTCAGCAAAGTATATATGTTTGGGTTTGTTTGGTAATTTGTTTAACCTATTATCCCAAACATTTTACAATGGCAGACCTACAGCAATAAACCGCACACATTATCATCTAAAATGCAAAAGAAAGAAGAGATGCAAAAGGTTTGCTTCTAAACGTTCTTCAATGTTTAGATACTGATAAAAACAAACCGTTCTGTCTCATCTCCACTTTCAGCAACTCAAACGCTTGCTTTGGGCCGATAAGGAGGAATAGTGACCTCATAGTTTTGGCAGGAATCCCCCAACCCCCCGACCTTCACTACGATTTCCCACATGCTCACACACACGGAGAATTAAGGCGTGAAAGGACCGGATTATTCCAAGATGACTGGGAATTCTTTGTATGGGGGGGACGGCAGTGAAGAAACAGGAAGCATGCGCAGCGGATCCGGTGGTGGACAGAGCTCGCAGTGGATCTGACATCCATTTGATGACTGTCTGACATAAATGAAACAGCGTGTGTCATCTACAGCGAGGCGGCTCGTTCACAGCCCAAAGGGACTGAATCAAACTGCCATAAGGAAAATCATCTTCCACACTGATTTGAAACAAATGAGTGTGAGCACTGCTATTATTATTCATTATATAATAAGATGTTCAGACGTTTCAAATAAGATGTGATTAGAAAGTAGTGCTGGGTAATCAGAGTTATTGGCTCTCTCCAGCAGATTGTTAAATAAACGGTCTTTTGTCTGACAATTCAAAACTTTTCCCTCCACTCCAAACCAGCCAATCGCAGACGCCGGCTGACAGGGGGCAGGAAATCACCGAGCGCCAGTTTATCTACTGCCATCCCCTAATATGTGTCTTTGCTGCTCTCCACGTAGCATCTGGCTCCAGCGCGTATCCCAGGATGATGCAACAGCTGGGTAACCGTCACGACTGCTCATCTGCTTTTTCTGAACCTCCCCGACCGTCACATCACCGCTGCGACCCCCGATGGCTGACTCAGACCACATCACGCACGCTGACCGCCGCTGTGTGTGTGTAGCCTCCACGCGCAGAATTACTCAGACACACATGCTCAGCAAACCAACGTGAGGGAGACACTAGGAGGTGAAGAAGCAGGCAGAGAGAGACGGCTCATACTCTCGTCACACACATTTCCTCGTGGTCTTATGATGAGAGCCAAACTTAGCTCGAGTTTGGGCGCGGTTGTCTTCCTACATTGTAAAAATGTAGCTCGCTCTCAGTGCAGATACATTAAAGAGAGCAGCTACTCTAAACGCAAGCATTACAAACCCCATAAAGTAAAAAAAAAACATGTTTAGTGAATGTGAAGTGCTTCTAAGGGAAGTAGTAACGACAAAAGAAAGATACTGTCGTCTGTCATATTTTAATACTCACTGATAAATAGTGATTCAATTGAAAAGCTTTTAGGCATTTGTTGCAATGAACTTTTATGTCTGGTTGGTCTTTCCCAGGAGGAGAAATGCGCTGGCAGACATGGAGTAATGCATTTAATGTTCACAACAGCAGATTGTTCCGATATATAAATAGTGCTTAGTAGTTACAGTAGCTTAAGCAGCGATATATAGCCCCCCTTGGCTGAACAGACAAAGAGAAGAGCTGTAGCTGTATTAAATTAAACTCTACAAACAAGAAAACAGAAAAAGAACATCATGATAAATGGCACTTTCATTGCAAAGGTATTTCTCAGAAGTTTAGTGCAAAACCACCACAGCAAAGACGGCACAGTACTCAGATGTTGCCATAAAGGAAAAAAACATGAAAGAAAAGTAGATTGAAGGACAAGACAAATAGAAAAACAGCAGCCTGTTCCCTTGAAAATGCTGATGTAAGGTCAGTAAGTCAATACGTAACAGACGAGGATCGGTGGTGCAAACCTAGAGATGCTCTGGGAGCAGGGAAGCCTGCAGACCCTGAGGGGTGTGAAGAACAAACCGGGCAACAGATTCAAGACGAGACAGCCAAACAACCTCTGGACAGACAGACAAACGGACAGACAAAGGGCTGCTTCAGTCCCCAATGGGTCTAGTCTGCAGTAGGTTTATACACATGAAAGGGTACAGTAGAGGAACAATAGATTGTATACTGACAATCTATTGTTCCTTTCTCAACTTCAGACACAAGAGAGACTGGGAGAATGATGCACTGGACACTTATAACAAGCTGAATCAAAACAACTGAAGTTATATGAGCTCTGATTTCTTTCTCTTTGGATTTTATGTTTTGAAAATGATGAACAGGAATGAGCATATCTGTGTCGAGGCTCCAACACGAAACTGCAGCACTTTGCATGATGAGTAAATATACAGTAGCTCTACGGGACAGTCAGTCAAATTAATAGTTATATCAGTTAAATAATACATCTGAAATATTCTTGGTGCACAAAGGAGCACGCTATGGCTGCTCAGGGATATCAGTCTTAAAGTGTTTGATTCTATTTGACATCTGAATCAAGTTGGCCTACTTTACCCTCGCCTCAAAAATGAAGAAAAGCTGGCTAAGAGCACAACAATCACTAGGTATATCGTGTTTAAGGGACCTCCTCTTAAAAGGACCTCGTCTAAACATCTTCCTTGTCTAGTCACTCAAACAACATCGTAATTTGCCAGAGGAAGCCTAAAAACTACAACAGGAGGCTGAAATCCACGACGAGCATGTCTGTACTTTGAGGTTTGTCATTATAAAGACTCAGTTAGTGACCGCAGGCTGAATGTAGTGACAGTATATCCCAGCCGAGGACGCTCCTCCAGCCTACTAACACTACTTGGACAGGTGTAGCCAAATAAAGAACATTTTGACACAAACGCAAAGTAATCGGCTGTATCGTTTGTCATTTTTCAACAACAACAACAACAACAACATGTTCATATGTATCAAATGAGAAAGCTACAGTGGGTCATGTTTCCCCACTTTGCTTTTACTTTTAGGATCAAGCACTAAATTTAAATTTTAAATAAAAATGGGGGGAAAAATGTAACAAAGAAAAAATTATTATTACGATTGAATGATGTACGTATGGCGTTATGTGTGTTAATGCGGTGTGTACATGCAGCATGCCAGGGAAAAAAAAAACTGTCCCGTGCAGCGGAAAAGACCATATGGTGCAGAAAACGCAGCACATGAGCAGTTGGCGAGAGGAACAAACAAGCAAACGCCTCCATTTAGCCAGCATCCATTGTCATTACCATAAACAACCCAGCACCCCTCTCTGGCCATAAGACACAAACCCGCCACATGCTCGGTGACCCCGGTTCCACGTGACCTACAGACCTACATATGGAAATGTTTCGTGGACCGTCTTATAGTAAAAACACAGCCTGCCCTTCAGCATTGTGTAGAAATAAAATCTTCTTGTGGAGTCTATGAGGGGGAATACCGATAAAGAGATAATGAAAAATAGATTATTAATAATCCAAGAGACTTAATGAAGCACATGCCCTGCAGCACAGTGCTTTTCGGGGCTTGTGACTGATTCCCCGAAGCATGTGTGCAGTACAGTTTTCAGAAAATGTACTAAATGCACATTTCTGGAGGCAGATTTCTCAATGGGGCATGAACGCAGAAGAATACTAATATACAAACTTTAATCAACCATCAAAATGTTTGAGCAGTAGACATTACGTTACAGTAGCACTGACGATTAGTTGAATAATGCGTTTGGTGACAACTATTTTCAAAATTGATTCACTGTTTAAGTCATTTTCTAGCGTTTTACAGACTAAACAATTAATCAAGTTAATTATTGAAATTGGCAGATTAATCCATAATCTCCATCCTTTGTTTGACTGCAGTCGTGCAGAAAGAACAAATATGCATTTTAGACATTTTATTAACCCTTAATATATAAATACCTTCAAATATAAGCAGTAACATTACACCATGTACATTATTATGGTACATAAAAATATATCCTGTGAGTTATTATTAAGAGAGCACTTTATACGAACACAATTAACTTTCAGAAAGTTATATTTCTTTCTCTTGTTAGACTACGTTCTCTTATAAATGTCTTATAAAATCCTCTGCTCAGATCTGTCCAATAATACTTGATATGTTTATTTTTATAGTTCACATTTATGTCACGTCTGATGGGTTTGAAACTCTTTTCCTGCAACTAAAAAGGTATTTGAACTGTGTTAATCCATTTCTGAACCAGACTGTAATATGAATAAATCACTGTATTAAGGCACACAGAGTCAAGTATGGATTGGCTGTAGCCGGTGCTCTTATGGCCCGCGGCCCTTTAACAGGAGCATTAGTATCTGACCAACCCTGCCACGTTGATTATGGGACCAACATTTACGCAATCGCCGCAGCGGCAGACAAAAATAGTGAACTCTCTCACACTGAAATCCACACTGGCACCTAAAAGGAAAAAAAAACACCAGTGTTAGCACAACAGGACCACTGGGGGAGACGGGCAGAGGGAGAGATGGGAACGGAAACTGCCCAAATACAAGATCAATATCTGCTGTGGAAAGAAGCACAAAATACCGGATCCTCCGAGGGGAACACGTTACACCCCGAAACAGATGTGAAGGTCACTCTGTTTTATTTCTCATTCTGAGAAGTCAAAAAATCAAAGCAGACACGCCCCTGATGTTCCATAACAAGGGAGAGGTTGGTGATTATGTATATAAATTGCTCCAGGTTTTTTTTTCTTCTTGTTTTCTGCTCTGCTGTTTCTCACCACAGACTTTTCTGTTCACCTCCCTTGTTTCTCTCCGTGACTCTGCTTCACCAGGCGCGGCTATCTGACTCTCATAACCCTTCTAACGCGTATACTCTGGCAGATCACACAACTGAGATTCACTGCTATTTTTATCCACAGACAGCCTGCTACGAAAACACTGCTAAAAACACCTTGAAGGGAAAGGAATAGATCGGAATATTAAGTTTGAGGCTCGGTTGTTTTCAGTCACAAATAACGCTCCCTGATCACTGAAGTAAAGTGAACTCACTTCCTAAACTTCCTACGATACACAATGGCTGCGGGCAGGCCGCACAACAAAGCTCTCAATCCCAGCTACAGTCCAGAACATTAAATGTGTTCACAGTATGAAAGGAAACCCTCACTAAATGTGTACGCAATGCTCACTGGCCACAAGGTCGCCGCAAGAATTATGATACTGAAGCAGGTAATTCAGGTGAGAAGAAGGATTTCATCTGATGGTTTCCAGTTTTTCAAAAGAAAACCTGTACAACACAAGATTTCAGCAAATCTGAAGACAGACTCTTTGTATGTATTCACACCAGTGCCTTGTGTCACCATTTGCACGGTCACTGCGTAAATGGACACATATGGAGAGTCTGCAGCCTGACATCGCTGCTGCTTCCTCTCTGTCCTGTGACACTGACACAGTTTTAGAAAACGCAAACCGCCTGTAGAGCCAACCCGCCTGCCGGCTGCCACATTTACAGGGAGGACAGGAAGGAGGCGGAAAAAAGGCAGAGTGAAAGAGAGAAAGGAAAGGAGCAGAGCCGGACTGGATGGTATTATCTGCACATTCTGTGGCTCCGATCCAAAACATTTGAATTATTACAGATGAGGGACGAGGAGGAGGAGGAGGAGGAGGAGGAGGAGGAGACTAGATGTGCAGCCTATAGCTCTCCAGCTTTCCAAGAAGACTGTATTATAAACCCACACAGTCTAAACTGTTGGACACAATGAGGTGAAATGATTAAGGTCAAACAATCAGCTATGAACATAACTTAAGTCTCTGTTTCAAATCTTTTGAGCAGTTGTGTAACTTTGCTATCTGTCCTGCATCTGCTTCTAGCATTTGGACTAAATTCCTCATTCATCCACCCAAAACAGTCTGTTACCTGATAATGAAACAATAATTATAAAACCTGACATGCTGCACAGATTGTTGTTGATTGTTTGTAAGAGGCACGCAAACAAAGCGTCCTAAAGATCCCCGTCCACGCATGGCGAGACGCGGCAGTATTAAAGACACTGTAAGGCAGTAATAACCCATATTTTGCCACTTCCAAGAGTTTCACATCTTATGTGATGAGGACAGCAAAAACGTAACTCAACACAAAGAGAGCGGATGCGTGTAGGCCAGCTACATCTGCCCCGCGAAAACAAAGCCTCCGCACAGAAGATGAGGAGGGGGTCCGACATCGGGAAACACTCCGCAGACACATTACACTTCGACATACCTACAAACAGACTCACAGAGGAGCCCGACATTACTGTGTTTCCAGTGAGATAAACACAAAGCGTCCATTGTGACCGACCTTCATTGATGTGCATCCTGTCTCGGTAGCCTCCTCCGTGCGGTTACTGAAGGATGTAACTAGCTAATAGGAGGAGAGAGAGAAAAGAAAACACGACTAATGTAAAATAATAATGATAGCACAGGGCGCATTACCTGCCCGGTGTTTTTAACAGAGGCAGCAAAGTGTCGAGGCTGTGTCGCTATACAAAGGCGGAGCAGGGCAGGCTGGTCATGCTGCTGCCGACACCAGTAGGCAGTACAGTTAGCCAACACAGTCTGCTGAGCCGCTTTAAGCACAATAAACATCTACAATGCTGCTTCTACAACTGTGTCTGCATCCATTTTAATCCAGCTTTCGTTTGTTTTAACGCGACAAGCTCCCAAATCTGCCGTGCCACCTCACAGAAATGGTAACATCAACACTGAAACCCCCCCCGCACACTGACATCCAAAACTCAATAGAGTGGCAGCAGAAAGGCAGAAAGGGCAGAAAACCGACTCTTTCCATTTTGTTTTCTCCTGCCGCAAAACTTCCGGGATCTAACGGTCGCTACCCGGCCTAAAAGCCTACTGCTGACAGATCATGTATTTTCTACTGTTGGCAGAATAAAAG